TAGCGTTCCAGAATTCCCCAGAAGCACAAGGCCATCTAAAATGCTATAAATACCTTAGATTTTCTGTACATAAAATGAGGTGCACGGAACATAAATGGGGACAATCATATAGTAAATGCTTAGTTTGAAAAATGTCCATCAGTTGTCTCAAAATGGCCCAGACTTCATTGTTCCTGCATTTTCATACAAATTGCATTCTGTTTTCATTCTTCACTGTTCGATCCTCTTGTCTCTCTGCTGCCAGACATTCTGTTCACGACTAACGTCGCATACTACTTATATCAATATAAACAACACACACCACACTCGTCCCGCATTTGAAGCATTCGTTCTTGCGGTGGTTATGATCGCCGTGCCACTTTCTTCTTTCTGCAGTCTGTGCCACGCTCTCCATCAATATGTCGGGTCTGAGACGCAGTGGCCTCCATAGCTCCGTTGACCCGCCGGGGCATCAACATCCCATATCCACCAGGTACCTGGGACGTCTAACACCCGTGCTGCACTGGCCTGCTGAGCCATCTACATCCGATGTTCATCCAGCAGACGCACGTCCCACCGCATCTCTCTGTCGATAGTACCCGCTAAAGCCAACGCCGCCCCGCCAGAACACTCCACTGGACGTCACCTCTCCTCATCAGACTGCCCTACAGGCACCTCAGCCCCAGTCCCGCAATGGCGTCCACAGAACAGCACCCTTCCCCTCCCTTCTCCCAGTGGGGACAATCAAAAGTTCTTTCTATATTTCGCGCCTTTTCTCTCGTATTGGTCAATGACTAGTATTGGGACTTAAGAAACATGTTTCATTTGATTTGGAACTCATCTACTAGATATCCTTATATCTGAGGCCTGAATTGATTACTTATCGTTTCAAATTACAACACGTCATCCAAACGACTTTTCCATCAATACTAATTATTTAAAAAGAAGGATACGCTTGTCAAATAGGCTGGTCAGAGAATAGTTAAACTAACATCAATAAACTCAAGGTCTGACTGAGAAAAAACTTAAACCATTATCCGCAATAGGGTGTAGTAGAAGTAAGACATTTAACGCGAATAATCAAAACTTCCAGAGATAGCTTATTCCAAAAACGAAAGAGCGACCAAAAACATCCACGTTACAAATATATCACACTTAGTGTCTATTGATAACATTCGAAAAGAATGGCATTAATACACTCAAATCTAATCACAAAGAGGTTGTCTATAACCGGTAACAAATAGCTGTATTTTAAACATTGCTGTTACACTTCCAAGTTGATAAGCCAATGATCACCCAGGATATGATGAATGCCCAAACAACCCCGAGCAGTACTCAATTTCATTTGGATATATACTTGTATTAAAATGACACGTTTTGTGAAACCTCAAAGACATGATTTTAAAGACTGGACCTTGTCTACTAATTCATCATATATCTTGCCATGTAACACATTGGAGATAGTAAACCACTAAGAAAATCTATAGTTACCAAATCAATTGATGATATTGCTTCACATTCTTACTGGATAATGATTTCAGTTGTGTATGAAAGGACATTCTCAATGATTAGACTATATTATAAAATTAGGAATTTTCACCCATAACTGTTATATCCTAGCAAAGACTAAGTTATGGGTCAGAGGGAGGTTGATTATGAATACAGGGGTCTTGAGTGCTGTTAGAGGTATGAGGGTGGTTATCACTTCCCGGTTGCCCACACCGTGGAAGGGTTCTTCTGGAGGTACCTGAAAAGGAAATTGGATTAGAGGTGGTCATAGTGACCTGAGAGCGTGACCGCAGTGCCCAAGGAACAGCTGCTTGAGGTCGGTCACACACGACCTTTTTATGAGTAATTTTTGTGTTAGCTCCGTACTTGTTGAGACCTTACCGTCGGAGACGGATATCCGTGTGATAAGGCAAGGTGTGCATTTTTAGGGTCAACCTTTTCTAACCGCACCCCTCCTTGTGGGAAGGCAGCATCGCTGTTATGCTGGTTGTCTGAAGGAAACACCTTACTGCTGTCACACCTCTGTATAGTCAGCAGTACGACTTCGCCTTCGGACCTTGAATTTGTTGCTTTTAGTCTTACCGCTCTTCAACCGACCTGTCTGGCATGGTAGGACCTTAAGAAACGGTTGTTCCAGCCAATATAGCTCAGTTGTTTCATCACGATAGACAAGCCCGACCACCACGTCAAGGTAGCAACAACGGTTGGGAAGTTATGGGTAACTTCTGAGAACTATTAATGAACTAATATTATAACTATTCAGTAACTAGATTATGTTTATCTATATTCCTCTTATTATAAACTTTATTTTGAACTATAAACTATTAATTATAGGATTAATTATAGTCTATTAATTACAGTCTCCCACAATCATAGCCACTTTTTCGTTTGATCTTGTACGAATGTTATTTCCTATTTTATCGTATGATGTGGTCTAGTTGACTTGCATATCAACCAATTATGTTTGATTCGTACTGTAGAAGCTGTTATTGGCGATATGGACTGAACAGGCAGAACTAGTCAGAAAAAGGATCAATAAGGATGTTAGGCCGCTTATACCAGTCGAACGTTATTGGTTTGGCACAGTATTAAGATTGTATAAGTCATATTGTGATTGAAGAATAAGTGACGTGACAATCAACGGGCAAAAATCACAACGATAACTTCAAAATCGATTGCAGTTCTGAAAAAAAATAATGAAAATCAAATTCTTCTCTAAATTCACTTGGTGTTGTTTTTTAATTGTATCTTCCCATTGTTATTTAGAACTGAAATTGATCAGTCTCATTTTGGTATATGTGCATCCTTTGCCGATTGCCTCGATATAGCCTGAAGTTATAAGCTTTTTTAAGTGAACATGGATAGTAAAATTTAAAAAGAACTGGAACCCGGAATGAACATCAAGTCTGGGATGCAGGTACATCCAGCTGACGAGTCCCGAATAGGATGAAACGCGCGTCCTTGCTTCCACTGTTAGCGAATATCAATCTTTGCTCTAATTCTTCTATGTTGATACATTTTCCCTTACTATCCTACTGATTGATTAACTTCCACTGCTTACACTAGATTTGGAAGATGTATACATACATACATATTTGGGCAGCATCATTGATAAACACAGCGGATCTAATTTATTTATTTATTTTCATTTGAACACATAAATATATATGCGACACACTGGCTCCTCAAACGGGAATCGATACAGATGTGAAGGCGTGAATCGGAAAGCAATAACAGAATATCTACAACTGAAGAACATCTGGAAATCAAAACAATTGGCAACCAAAAACCAAAGTTAGGATTTTCAATGCAAATATCAAGATAGTTCTACTGTATGATGCGGAAACCTGGAGAACTACGGAAACCATCAATCAGAAGATACAAGTATTTATTAACAGTTATCTACGCAAATTACTTCGGATCCGTTAGCTAGACACTAAATTATCAGCAACAACCTATTATGGGAGAGAACAAACCATATTCCAGTGAAGGAAGAAATTAAGAATAGGTGCTGGAAGTGGGTAGGACACACATTGAGGAAAGTACCCAACTGTGTCACAAGACAAGCTTTCATATGGAATCCCCAAAGACAAAGGAGAATTGACAGACCAAAGAACACATTACACCCAGAGATGGAGACAGACATGAGAAGAATAAACAATAATCAGATAGAACTAGAAAGTTAGGCCCAGAATAGAGTGGGTTGGAAAATGTTGGTCGGCGGCAGCCTATGCTCCATTAGGAGTAACAGGCGAAAATAAAGTAAGTAACTGACACTAGAACTTGAAATCAAGATTCTTCACTTAATATCTAGTTGAATTTTATACAACCGTCTCAACTGTTTAACTCCAGTGAATAGTTATTTACTTAATGAAACAGTATTATGTAATGATTGAATCACTGGTTACGATAGAACCCTCATCTTCTTATGAGCTTGGTTACGTTGAAATTTATGAAGCTATTCAATTAACTTATTTGGTAGATAGATAAACAGACAGACAGATGGATAGATAGATAGATAGACAGACAGACGGTATTTCTTTTAATGCGTAATTCAAAATAACATTGTATTTTATAAGCATAAATATATTTCATAAAAACTTATCTTCAATAGTACTTCCATTTGTAATATTGGCCATCTCTCTCACACACACACACACATACACACACACATACACACACATACACAAAGTAATGATAATAACAATAACAAAAACAAAAAGAACAAAGATCGAAAATGAAAAGAACCAAGGCAACAAAAGCATTCATTATACTACTATTGTTTTTTGTCAGTAGTAATCATAGCTATAAAATATCTGTGTAGAATAATAGATTGGAAATAAATACAAGGCAACTAATTTTATGTGTTTGTATCGTTTGCTTGACTCGTTCACATGTTCACGTGTATACCTATGTAGGTATGTATCTCTATGATCTTTATACATATGAACAAGATTGTTGTTTTTCTCAACAACAACAACAAAAACAAAAAGATCTGGATCTTCATTAGTCGATCAAAAATTTGCTGGTATTTTAACCATAAGACTCATCTATGTGTATATTCATTATGTAACAATAAGACTATAAGATAAAAAGATATGCAATGACTTATAATATAAGGCTATACCATTGATGTTAGTATAGTTTTGTTTTTAATAATTAGTAATCAATAATGTTTACTATTGATTATGACTTGGTAACTAAATTATAGGCTTAGCAATAAAATGGATTCAATAAAGGCATAATAAATGGGAGGAGAGGAGGGGAATGGAGGAGAGGAGGGGGGAGGAGAGAAGGGGAAGGGAGGAGAGAGATAAAGAAGCATATTCATAAAATAGGCATAAATAGAACAATAGACTATACAAATACCTGATATCTGTATGAACTATGTATATGTGTATTCGGAAGACAAATAACTAAGTTGACTAGTTAAAATTGATATTTGTTGATTTATATTACTATTATGTTTATTAGTAGTATTCATAATATTCATAGTAGAATTGATTAAGTGATTATTTTTGTACAGGAAATGTAGTTAATTTGCATGAAGTGAAATATTTATTTGGATTATTATTATTATTATCATAACTAATACTGTATTTATTCATTGTAGAAGATGTAATAATAGAATTATTTTGATTCAATTGTTGACAAGGATATTCAGATAATGAACAAACAGGCATATTTGATGAAGAGAATGAATGATAATATGAATTGAATGGTCTAAATGATCCAGTTGTACAAGAAGTAATTTGTTGATCATATGTACTTTCTATACCAATTCCTGTATCTGGGGATGAATTAGTGAATTCATTATGTTTACATTTAGGTGATTGTAATAATAACATAGTAGATAATGGTGAAGAAATTGTTGAATAATTAGGATGATTATTAAAATCTAAATTTGTCGTTGATGTCATATGTTTATATGATGATCGTGTAGTCATGTGTTTCCTATCAATCGATGGAGATATTATAGTAGATTGATATAGACATGATGTATAATTCGTTGTTACTGGTAATGGATATAACAATGGCATAGATGGTGGTTGTTGTATTGATAAAGAAGAATTCTGTATAGATTGATAACGATAATTTGTTGTCATACAAGAAGGTTCATCTTGTGATGTCAAATAATGATTTATATTATTATTAGTTTTACTAATAGTAGTTGTAGTAGTAGCATTAGTAATTGTTGAATAAGGAATAATATTTGATGGAATACTCATTGATGGAATAATTTGTATACAATTTACTGCAGTAGTCATTTTATCATTGAACATATTATTAATTGATTGGAAAGTAGTACTACTTTTACTGATATTAGTAGTAGTGGAAACATTGGTGTTATTATTATTATTATTATTATTGACAGAGAACGATGAAGTCCAAACATTTCCCAAAGAATTATCACTTTCATGCATTGAACAATGAATAGATGGATGAATGTGAGATGAGGATAAACTAAGATGACGTCTACCGTGATAATTCGATGTAGACAAATTATATCCATAATCATAAGTTGAATTATTTGATACATCTGCATTCATATTACTATTATTATTATAATTAGTAGTAGTAGTAGTAGTACAAGTAGACTTCTGTTGTTGCTGTAATGGTGTTGATATTGAATAATATTCCTCTTTTGGTTCATCATAAATACATTCATCTATTTTTTGATTATCATTTCTATTATATATATTCAATGCTGATGTTGTAAACAATGGCTTCAATGTACGATTCATCATATTAGAACGGGATGTTTTTGTTGTTGTTGTTGTTGTTGTGGTTGTGGTTGTTGTTATTAATCTAGGTAGATTTGAACAATAAGATGATAACATACCAGAATATAATGGTTGTTGAACAGATTGACTCACTAAATATGTACATGAAATACTATTAGTATTAGTATTATTATTATGATTATTACTATCATTATTGAATTTTGTAACATTTTGATCTGAATAATATCCAGTTGTTATTGTTGTATTGGTTTGTAACAATGATGGTACACATCCATGTTCATATGTTGTTGTAACATGAGGAATAGTTTTATGAATAGGATAATTACAAGTGGAAGAATATAACAATGGAGTAAATGCTATTGAACTACCATTTCGACAAGTACTATTATTATTTATTCATAGTAGTAGTAGTAGTAGTAGTAGTAGTAGTAGTAATAGTAGTAGTAGTAATTGGTTTAAAAGTATGTGATAAGACTTGTGCTTTACTATCTACTATTTGAATAGGTTTCATGATATGATCATTTCTAATCGATGATAATGGTGGAATAGATTGATGAAATGATTTCATTGTAATAGGTGTTTCAGTAAATGAATAATTACCATAATTCACATCATATACATTGAAATAACTGGACTTTTGACTATTAGTATTACTATTATTATTAGTAGTAGTACTAGTGGTAGTAGTAGTAGTAGTAGTGGTAGCAGTAGTAGTAGTAGTAGTAGTAGTAGTAGTAGTAGTAGTATTACACTTATTTTGTTGATTAGTTGTATTAGTCAATGGAGTAATCCCTTTTCTTTCATTCTCATCTATTTGATCATGATGATGATAATAATAATAATCATGACATGGTTTAGGACGAATCAATAAAATTGGTGCTTTACTAGTAATTTTCACTGGAAAATGATTCAATTGATGATAATTATCTTCTAAACTTTTATGATATTTTTTATTATTCTGTATTGTATGATTAGTTTCTATAATATGTTCATTGATTAATGATTGATTATTGATTATTTGATTTGATTGATATTGATTTGTAATATGTGTATTATTAATGAATTGATTTAAATGTGGAGAAATTGGCGCTGATGAATGATTTAAATAGGTATTTCTCTCTTCATCATCACAATGATGACGATGACGATGATATTGATGGCGATGATGTTGATGTTGTTGTTGTTGTTGTTGTTCTTGTTGTGGATTATGATGTAATAAAGATGATAATGAATGAGATTGTATTGGAAAATGTCCATTACGTACATAAAAATAAATATCTTCAATTTCATCACATAATGCATTCATTTCATCAACTTCACTAGCAAATAATGATGATGATAAACTAGATTGAATATGTAAATTACTATTAGTTAAACAATTAGTTGAATGATATAAATTATTCATATCTATCGATGATATATGCATAGAATGATAATTACTACTATGATTATAATTAGTAGTAGTTATAGTAGTAGTAGAAACAGTATTATTATTATTATTATGTAATGTTAAATAATTTAATATTTTTGGTTGAATTTCATTTAATTGATATAAATCATTTGGTATATCATTCGATTCTTCATGCATAGTTAAAGAAGCAATAGCAGCTATACTTGAAATAGCTGATTGAATAGAAATTGTATTTAAACGTTTAGTAATTGGTCCAAGTGTTCTAGTTAATGGAATATATGATGGTCCAGTAATAGATAAATGTGTTATATCTTCTAAATGTTTTAATATATATTGTAAACTTTGAACAGGATGACATGCAGCTAAAAAATGTGATACTTTAAATGCATGTATTTCAAGTTGTTGATAATATATTTGACATGTTTTTAAATCAGCCATTAAAAAATTATGATTTAATAACATATCCGTAGTAACTACAAAAAATCGACTTTTTATTGATTCATTGAATGATTGATTTTGATCAATTGATTTATTACAATCAGATAAAGGTTCTAAAAATATAAGATCACCATGATAACATGAAAATATTTGTAATAATGATGAATGTATATTTATAGAATTTGAATTTGATATTAATGAATGATTTGTATATTTTTCCATAAAAAACCATTCATTTGAACGTAAACCAACTACAGGACGTGTAATTAAAGGTAATCGATATGTACTTAATAATGATAAGATACTATGAACTCCATTATCAAAAATGTTATAATCTGTTTCATTGCTTAATAATTTAATATGACTAGAATTCTTATTATGATTATCATAATTATTATTTACACTAAAGGTAGATGTTGTTTTCACTGGACTACACATAATTGATTTTGAAGCTAAAGATAAATAAACTAAACGAGGACCAGTACTAAACCAATTTAATGCATCTTGAGAAGATAAATTTGTAATAGATGATGCTAAAGCAGCTAATGTTTTACCACCAACAACTGAACATTGTAGCATAGAAACTGTTTTTGAACGATGACGTGCAGAAAGTCGATAAGAAATTTGATCTTCTTTGTGTAAAAGACGACATAATCGACAATCAATTAATTGTAATACAGTTCCAGGTTGAAGAATACCAATATTATCTGCATCTAATGTTATAGTGGAACGATCATCCTTTTTAAGTAGTTCAGTTGAACTCATAGTAAGTGATTGAGTATTAGTTGCAAATAAACACTGAGTATCTTTTCTTAACAGAATAAATTTTGGTTTGGCTCGCCAAACCGCTTTACAACTTGACCAGACAGGAACTTCTGGACAGATTTGTGGTCCATTATCGGATGGTCCACTAACATTTCTTCGTACTAATTCGAACCAAGATGGACAACAGGAAGTAAGAACAACAGAATGTGGACAAGATGATTTAATTTCATTAAAGTTTGGTAAACTCTGATTGTAAGTATTCTTATTATTAGATGTATTATTTACAGCATGTTGAAAAACATGATTTGATCGTGATTTTTCACTACTTGATACAATAGAATTTGGTAATAACCATTCAGCTTGAATCAATGTTATACCAGGAATAATTTTCATAGCTAAAGCACGTTCATTTTTAAGTACACAACGACATCCTGGTTTACGACATTCAATTTGTACAAGACGTGATGGTTTATCAACTGGATAATTTGATAAACCAATACAACTTTCTTGTTGAATAAGATCTTGTATTGTATAACGCATTGAATTCATAAATTGATTATAATTTATATTATCATTATTGTTACGATTGTTTTCTTCATTCATCATATCAACATTATTACAAGTAATCCATTTGAAATAAGGTCCAGTATCATAAATATCCACAGCACAACTCATGAGATCTCAGATGACGATGATGATGATGATGATATAATAAAAACATTATATCATCATTGATTTATATGTATCCATATTTTTTATATGGGTATGATCTTATTTTATAGAATATTGTAATTTATGTTATCATTTTATAATAAGAATAACATACATAAAGAATATTGAATCCTCATTAGAAGGTAAGTAAGAAGACAAATTAAGAATAATTTCATATCAAATCAAATATAAAGTTAGTTTATATATATATAATTTAAACTTTATTAGAACCAATCAAAATGAAGGTCATTATCATAAGGAATTCTTATATCAGCTGATTTTGTTGGTTTCTTATTGGTTATTTTTATTTACATAGTATTATCATTAACCAATGAAAATAGAGTATCAATATTATTATTCATGTCATTGGTCTAGTAACATATGCATTCAACACAAACATACACATTATATATATATATATATATGTACACACATACATTAAGTGGTAGTCAGCCTAGGTTTCTTTGTCAAATTTATGGTTATTTATAGTGTCCACCAGGGTAAAGTTTAGCTGGGTTTTTTTTATGATGATGATGAATGTGAAGTAAGAAGAACAAAAGACATTGCTTATTTTATGCAATATTAATAAAGAATAGAAATAAACTAGTCAATGTATATTCTGTTGAGTTTGAAAGAAACAAACTAGATATGTATTAATGTGTAAATTATAATAGGATAATATTTCCATTGACAGTAGGGTTTAGCTTTAGTTAATTCAGAGGAATAAACTTGAACTACGAAAGCTATTATTCAGAAGATACATGTGTTTAGTAACAGTTCTCTACGCGAAATACTTCAGATACGTTGGCCAGACACTACATTATCAGCAACAACCTATTATGGGAGAGAACAAACCACATTCCAATGGAAGAAGAAATCAGGAAAAAGCGGTGGTAGTGGATAGGACATATATTGAGGAAAGCATCCAACTGTGTCACAAGGCAAGCTCTCACTTGGAATCCTCAAGGCCAAAGGAGAAGAGGAAGACCAAAGAACATATTACGCCGAGAAATGGAGATAGACATGAGACGAATGAACAAAAATTGGATAGAACTAGACAGGAAAAGCCAGAACAGAGTGGTTTGGAGAATGCTGGCCAGTGGCCTATGCTCCATTGGGAGTAAAAGGCTTAAATAAGTAATTAATTCAAACGACTAAGTGATGTCAAGAGAGAAACAAGAAGTCTTGACTAATTATGGGAGCTATTTTTCGGGATATTATTTAATTTCATTTAAAGCTTGTAAAACAGTAACATTTAATTTTGTTCCTAGTTGATTCTACAGAATATGAGCTTTCGTTTGATGTATGATTCAATGCCATAGCCCTTTTTGTTCCAAATCTATTGTAATTTAAACGTATTATTTTGTATTCTATTTTTCTACACCAATCCTCCGTTTTAGACATTATTGTATTTTCCTAATTGTTTGTACGTTGTGATCTGGTTAGTCATCTATTTATTCATGTATCTTTTTACATTGATCTGGAAACGGGAACCAGATCAGAATTGGGATTAAATCGAGTAGTGTTTCAGTTGACTTGTCTTCTCTTACTCGCGTGCTTGTCAGCCAATCAGGTGATAGAATAGTTTTCATCTCTTTACTTTAAGCAGTTGGTTTGGCTTCGAACTCACGCATACTAGCATCAAGGTTAAGCCGGTCAGCCTATTGCGTCAAGGTCTTAATGTAGATTTAGACAAGTTATCCTCTGAATAGAGAGATGAATGATATAACACTAAATCACTTGTCATATCACTAGTTCATATGCCAAAGTCTTTGGGAATACCTTAGAAATAGAATTTTAGCACTGTTGATAAATATCAAAAAGTGCAAAACATAAATCAGTTATAAATTATCGGAGACTGACATCAAACATTTACTTTAAAGTTTTAGTGCCTATACATTGTTTTACATTACATTAAAGCGATCAGGATATTGAAAATCTAAAATGTAATTTGTTTCTAAAATCTTTAATTTCTACTAACTTCAAAAACCAAGATGTAAAGACATTACGTTATTTAACTCAACGGAGATAAGAAGAATCGGTAACCACTATAAAATCAATAAAACAAATAGAAAAATAAAACTGTTCTGGAACATAAGTGATGTTGAGCTCCTAGGTTCGAATCTTGTGGGAGCCCAATCGTGGATGCGTGCTGCCGAGGAGTCCCATGCTAAGACGAAACGGCTGTTCAGTGCTTCCAGGTTTTCCATAATGATCTAGCTTTCATTGACTCATAATTTCAACCACTGAAATTACTATAATATCCACAAAACCCTTTTTGAAATAAAAGTTATTTTTAAGGAAAAATCTAACTATATAATTCACTTGTTTTTATGCCATCATAGAATGGCGCCATTTTAAAATTATATTTGCCTATAACCGTAATAATCGTTATTTGGACTACAAAAAAATACCTCAGTTTATTCAATTTACAATTTCCGATTTATCGATTTTCCTACTATTGGCATTAACAACATAGGTAATACTATTGTTATTATGTATTTTTGGCCTGATTCTAATATCAGTTAAATTCCACAATCAAAGACATAGTATCACGGGGGGTGAGTGAAAACAAGTGCATACACTTTTTTTGTATACATATGACGGGGAGGAGAGAGAAAGCGAAATCAGTACATATTTGGGTATACAATGTAAATTTTCCAGATCGTTTATATGTTGTTCATTACATTAAAAGAATATTCTTGATTATAAATTTTTAAATGGATTAATCAGAGTAGTTGATTTGCTTCGTTTAGGTACATGGTTTATTTCTAATGATAATTATATTATGGAATCAAGGTTTACTATGAAGTTGTTTGTGTTTTCTTCCAAAGGTGATTTTGAGATCTTGACTAGTTTCTCCTTTAAGTTGTTTCTTCATTGTTCTCTGTGTCGTTTGAATGATATCTCGATGTCTGTTGTCAAGATTTCCAAATGTTCTGATATGAGTATCTTTCGTAACTTTCTCTGTTGGTCCCATATGACGTGTTAGTATTTATGGATCATGTAGTGTGCATTAGTTATCATTAGGTGTACCATTTTTCTTCCATTTTTTTCAGCTATTTTCCATCCCATTCGGTTGTTGATTAGAGGTCTGCATCATACACTTGTTGGTAGAACATGTTGATAAAGATACTCGTGGAGAAAATACACTTGTTCGTGAGTGGAAGCCTGCCTTTTTGTATACAATGAAATCGCTCTTACTTTGCCGATCCACACCTTCACATCTGCATCGGATTCACCGTGTTCAACAACGATGCTGTCCAGATATATAAAGGCTTTTACATCTTCCAAAGCTCCTCCATCAAGTGTGATACGATTAGTGCATGCTGTTTTGTATTGGAGAATCTGACTTTTCCCTTTAGGTACGTTGAGACCAACTGCTGCTGGGGCTGCTACTGCTACACTGGTCGTCTTCGCCTTTATTTGTTGTTGAGTATGCGTTAGAAGAGCCAGATCATCTACGCAGTCTAGATCGTCCAGCTGCATCCTAGATGTTCGTTGAAGTTTTTGTTCTAACTTAAATAAGAGAATTTCATTATTATTTATTACAATTGAATGTTACCTAGTAATGGAATCTAAAATTCATGTTACGCTCTGCATGGGACTCGTTCATATGGATGCACCCGTATATCCCAGTGTTAATGTTCAGATTGAGATTTGAATCTAGTATACTTCACTTCAAACATCAATGTGTTAACCACTAAGTTACTGAGTTTAGATAGCTATTAAATTGTTTAAACTACTATGAAGTTACGCATGCAGTAGTTCCCATTTTCCCACCGTTGATAAGAATAGCTACATTTAAACAGTCTACAATTTTGAGTATACATGTGATGTATGCTATTTATGTTGACAGATATAAGTAGTATGTAACGCCAATCAGAAATGGAATGCTTGGCAGTAGAAGATTTGGAAGATCGAATTGAAAGGAACAATCATGTAAACTGAGAATAATTGTACTTATAATAGGAACGAAGAAACGTTGAAGTATGTAAGAGACAATTGATGGATGATGTGCAAGTGATGTATTCACTGCATAGTTTTCATATTTTATGAAGACACTCTGTAAATTCGTATTAGTGAATCAGTTGGTTTTCCTCATTTGAGTTTTCATTACATATTCATGAATATATACAAGCTAATTAACTTCTATCTATTTCAATGGTTAAGATCATGAGTCAGTTGAAGCTAGACCAACATGGAAAACCTTGAAGCATTGGACGGCCGTTTCGTCCTATTGTGGGACTTCTCAGCAGTGCGCATCCACGACCTCGCCCCCTCCGAGATTCCAACCAAGGACCTACTAGTTTCGCGCGCGAGCACTTACCCAATAGACCACTGAGCCGGCTGACATGCAATTGTGTTAATGTCTAACTTCAACTGATCCATGAAATTAAGCGACACATCTACCAATGTCTTCAGTGAGTCACTATCTCACAACTGACCCAGTTGAACTCCACTGGTCACTACTTCTCACTAGAACTCTAGGATATACCTCTTGAAGCCAGTCACCAGTGAGCATATGTTGATTATTATCAGAAGGGGTTTTGTGGAGATTGTAGTAATTTTGAATGGTTAAGATGATATGTACTATTTCCATAAAAGATTGGTGGATTATTATTTTCAAGTTGAAATTATAATATCGGTTGTCTTTCTCCTCATTTCCTACAGCTGAACTCAAGAAGACAGATGACTTACTTTCTTCCATGTCAGTTAAATATTAAACGTACTCGTATGGTTTATATATATATCGGTTCCGTTTCTAAGAAATGAGACACACCACTGGAGGGAAAATGTGGAACACACATATATTTAAAGGAATTTGTAGTTACCACAATTGATTGATCGATGCGTGGTGATCAATGTCATGTGTGTCAAGTCCTTATTAATGCAGATCGAATGCTGTCGACCAAGTTGCAATGTGGTAGTAACGTCTCTTACTGTGAAGCTGGGTGACATGA